CAATATTGCACACAAAATATGACCACGTTTCATGCAATATGTGCACAAAAAATTTCTCTTGTGTGTAGAGGCATGAGATTTATGAAATCTATTTCTCTCATGATGATGATAATTAGCATAAGCATGAGTAGGTCTAATCCTACCACTCTCAATTTCAAGTCCTTTAATCTTGGATCTTAATTGTTTGTTTTCAAAATCAAGATCCCCAAGCAATTCATCTTTTAAAGCAAGAGATGTTTATAGTTGTTCAAGTTTTAAATCACAAGAAGCATGTAATTTTTTAAAGGAAGAAAATTCTTTTGACATCTTTTTAAACTCAATGTTTAATTCTTCTAATGCGGTAGCTAGATCACATTACATATAAAAGGATTCACTTTCCGTGTCGGAAACTACCTCCTTTTCATAAGCCATGAAGCAAATGTTAGGATCATGAATAGCAATCTTAGCTCCTTCTTCATTGCTATCCAAATCGCTTGGTTCAGATTCCTCTCATCCGGCATACATGGCTTTCTTCTTCTTGTACTTCAAGTATTTCTTCTTGAGCTTGGCGTAATCTTTAGCGATATGACCCGGTTCATTGCATTCAAAGCACTTTTCTACATGTGAAAAAAATTTATTGTTAGATCGGGGATTAAACTTCTTGTTCATTTTAATGAGTCTAGATATTCTTCTAGAGAAGTGAGTCACTTCTCTAGAAAAATTAACTTCACTATCTGACGATGATGAGGAGTTATCACTAGCTCTCTTGAGAGCTATGGTCTTCATTTTTGGTGATGGCTCCTCAACTTCCTGTAGGGGCACTTCCTCCTCCTCCTTTCCCTTGAGCTTCTTCTCATGAACCTTAAGCTTGCCGATGAGGCCATCGAGAGCTAGAGTAGTAAGATCGTGAGCTTCCTCTATAGTCGTAGCTTTGGGTTCCCATGCCGGAGTCAATGAACGAAGGATCTTGTAGTTCATCTCTTGGATAGTCAAACGCTTGTCAAGACCATGCAATTCATTGATTATGTTAGTGAAGCGAGAAAACATAGCATCAATGGATTCATTAGGAAGCATTTTAAATAACTCATAGTCATGCATAAGCCCACTAATTTTGGATTCCTTAACTTGGGGGGTTCCTTCATGTGTAATACACAATTTCACCCAAATTTCGTATGCGGTTGCACACATAGAAACCCTATTGTATTCATTAGGGGAAAGATCGCAAATTAAGGTTTCATAGCCTTTGCATTGAGATTAGCTTGGTACCTTTCTCCATCGGTCATGTTACCAATCTTGGACTTTTCTACATACTTTTTCACTATGAGTTCTAGAATGTCAAGATCAATGCAACGAAGGTAAATCCTCATTTTAGCCTTCCAATAAGCAAAATTATTATCGGTGAACAGTGGTGGTCTAGTGGTGGATTGTCCTTCTAGCATATGCACATTCATTGAAGCCTCCATAAGATCTTTTCTCTAAGGTGGTTAGACCAAAAACTAATATAGATACCAAGCTCTGATACCAATTGTTGGACCTTAGAGGAGAGAGATTAGGGTCTTAAGGCTATAATTGTATAATAAAAATAAGACAAGCAACACACAATAGAGAGAACAACCAAAGCAAATGAGTTAGAGTTAGAAATCGTTATCCAAGTGACGTGCGATGTGTTAACGGGGTTCGGCCCGCTGACCTACGTCTCCGCTCCCCACTCTCGAGGAGAATCCACTACATAACCCGGTTTGGAAGCCAGAACTTCTTCTACACAACGATCTCCACAAGATCTCACAACTACACAGTTGATCACCACAAAATCTCAGTCTCACACAGCTGATCTTCACAAGATTAAGCTCTCACCAGTAGTAATGGTGTAAAAACTCTCTCTTTACAATGTCCATATGATAAGGAGAAAGATTACACTGAAGCTGGGATGTGAACTTAAAAAACACAGAAAACAGGTTTGAAAATTTTGGCTCTCAGTAAAAACAGATCTCTGGTTTTTCAAAGTGCTTGGGACAGGTTGAAGAAGATGGGTATGAAGGGTTTAAATAGGAGAAAACACTGCAGCCAAAACCCATACCCAAATCCCCCAAATCCCATAAAAATCGTCGTTTGAAATCTGTACGTAAAAGGCCATTGGAGTAAACGGCTGTCGACCGCGAGCCACTTTCGAGACTCAGAAAATTTTTAGAGACTTTTGCAGTCGACCGTGGGAATTTTCTAGCTGGCGATCGACCGTGGAGGTCGACCGTGACGGTCAACCGCGAAAGTTTCTGCTGCCCACTCAGGAAAAGACACAGGCGCGGTCGACCGTGGCAGTCGACCGCAAACCAACACAACAGATACAGTTTTGACTCTTTTTAGAAAATCTGTAAAAATATTCAAATGACTTCTAAAAATTTGTGTAACTTTGTAAATTATTTTTAACACTAAAAACAAACTGTTTGGAAAAAGAATTTTATGAAAAGGTCCTCATACTTGTGAAAAATGATATTTTGTCAAAACGCTCAAAAATATAAGTATGAAAACGTGTGTGTGATATCCCAATAGCTTCAAGTGAAATCTACAACTATTTGCCTACATTCTAGCACTAGAGAGAGAAAAAAACTAGCTAATATCCTCACATAGAATTACAAGTCTTTGAGTCTTGATATAGCTTTGAGTTGATGAAGCTTTGACTTGTATGTGTTGTTCTTGATTAACATTTGCTTCATCACAACTTCTCCTCCTCCTTTGGATATCATCGTTGTAGCTCATATTCCATCCAATCCTCTATAAGTGGTACTAACAAGCTTGATATATATATTAACTACAATATCACTCAACAAGCAATTAGTACCGATAATGATGGTTGTAAAACATCATCAAAACATAAGGGCTAACATTAAAGTCATGCTCGATTTTCACTATAAAAATAATAATTAGATTAAATGATAAGACTGTTATGATTGTGACTAAGTGCAGTAATTAGATATCTAAACCCTAGTACATAGTAATGTTCTAAAATGGAATCAGCGTCAATTACAACATACAAAAACATTCAGAAGTTCCATCCACCATTCAATCAGTACTTGGCCTCACCCAACAGAAAACTCACTCAAAAGCAACTTATCAAATTCCACAAAAGGAATCAAAGCTGTGGATCCTCATACCAAATTCTTGCGTCAAGGGTTCACAATGTCCATCATCGATCTTTCAGACTAAGCTTTGGGTGATGGCCATCAGCAATGGAGTTGAGCCAGTTTAACTGAGGTGAACTTCTTGAGGCAGCAAGTTGTACTTAATCGACAGCTCTTTAAAAACTCTCTTCAGCTCAAGAACAAGATCAGACCTCCGGCTATTTTTCTCTGATACGTTTTGAAAGTTCATAGTATGGTTAACACATAATGTCATGTCCATCTTGTTAACATCCACGATGCCCTTGACCAAAACGATGTGATTAGGATGCTAGTGATTTGGTTTGCTATCAATGTACCTGGTGAATTCGCAAAGGAAAATAAAAGATTTTGCAAAACGGTTTAATAGATGAAAAATAAAACGATTACAAAGATGTATCTAAGTGTGCACAACTATATTATATTCAAGTTTGATATAACATAATATAAATCTAATTATTTCATGAACTTATATCATAGCTGCTCATGCATGTGTATCATAATTACATTTCTAATCTTTTTCAAGTAATTAAGTTTTACAAATGGCCAAGTAGACTAGAACAGCTGATGCATGCACAGTTATATTAATTAATATTATATTCAAGTTCGTTATAACATAATATAAATCTTAAATCCTGGACTTATATTGTAATTACACTTCTAATCTTTCTCAAAAAAATAGGACTTCCGCAAATAACCAAGTGAACTGGAATAGCTAAAGAATGCATCAAAGATAAGTGTATCCCTTGGAAACATCGAAGTCGCTTATGCAAAAAGAGTCATAGGGGTATTAATACAGATTCTAGGTCAGTATTAATTAGCCATGAAGAACTTAACTCAAAATGTAATTTTGCAACCATATATTAGAATTGACAAGGCCAAGTAAGTAAAATATTTCGAAAGGCAAAAATTTTAACATGCAAATAAATAAAAATGTGCCTGATACTGTATCATGAGGCCTTAAGTTCAAAGATGAGGCATGTAAATATGGTTGAAGAACCTGATCATATTGTGGTTGTGGAATCAACTGGAAGATATGCACATATGTTCATCATTTCAAATTGCAAAAAATCAACATAGATAACACTAAAAAGTAAAAACATGGCCAAGCTTGTCCACTTGATATGAAGGAACTATAACACATATCACTAGTACAAAATAGGACAACCCAAACGGTTGGAACCGTTTGGGAAAACAGTCTCAAACGGTTATTATAACCGTTTCGGCTGAAAAAAGAACCGTTTGGGCTAAAGCCGTTGGGGAAAAGTCTACCCCAACGGTCGCCCAAACGGAAACGGTTATGACCGTTTGGGCAAAATCCCAAACGGTTGTAACCGTTTGGGATATTGCCCAAACAGTTACAACCGTTTGGAATTTAATAAATTGCCAATCGGGTTTAATTGTTTGGCCAATTTTTTACCCAAACGGTTGAAACCGTTTGGCCATTTATCTGTCCAAACGATTAAACTCGTTTGGCCTGTTTGGTGTCCAAACGGTTTCTACCGTTTGGGCTGTTTATTTTAATATTTTTTAAATTTTGCCTTCTTTATTTATCTACATGTTTATATACACATTTCACACAATAAATACTCAATATCTCACAATTAAATCAAAATATATGTACATACACAAAAATGCCTCAAACAGTGCTAAATATTCAATGTTATATCTACATACATGATTACTCAATATACAATATTAGAGGCAAAACATATACATATAATGATTACTCAATATCTGACAATGAAAAGCATCTAATATTATATATACAAAACATATACATACACAATGATTACTCAATAGTTTTCCTAATAAAGAAACATCTCTCATAATTTTTCATGCCTCTTCAATCATTTTTTTTGGTGACAGACTCATTTTAATGTGAGATCTCTCAGCAGCAGCAGTGAAGAGATGTCCTCAGCTGTTTATCTACAAGTTAATATCATCAGCCAGGCTCTAATATTTGTCACACATAGTCAGAGTTGGTCATTTGTGGAGAGGCCGGGTTCTCTCCTAATTTGTGCTTTCATGGGAGCTCAACTGGTACGATTTGAAATAGATAGAGAAAATTATTATCATAATTCTTAAGTTCATAATAAAAAGATGTAATTCCTTTGATTGCTATTCGATCGATTGCTATAAGTAATATCCATAGCAAAAATGTAAGTCAACAGATATTGTTCCGCCAGTGAGGTCTAGAAAACACACATCAGCCATTACATTTTATGATTTTTCCTGAATGCTATTTGGTATTTGAAATTTAAATTCTATAATCCTTAGAAATCAAAGAGGCTCCTTGGTTAAGAAAGGGTCTTGAAACTTTTCAATTAAAAATGATTCAAGAAAGGGAAAAAAAAATAGCATCTTAGGTTGCTAAGCTGCTTGACTTAATTGTTGAGCCTGACATCGACTTATGCCTGCAGGTTGCCACGCTTATTGCAGTATCGCTGGGGTTGGGCTGGTGTCATATGGCTTTACACTGATATTCTACTTTCCACTGGAATATTCTACTTTCCACTGGACTTGATAAAATTTGCTGTCCAATATGGCCTAAGTGGAGAAGCATGGAATCTTGTTTTTGATAGAAAGGTCTGTGTAACTGAACTTTCTTTCTTACTCATTTCTTCTTCACAGCAATTCATTTCAACAGTACATAAAGATCATTAGAGCCAAGAAGTTCACGAGCTGCTTTCTCAAGAAATTCCTGTGCAGCATCACGGACAGACTGTTTCTCAGATGGTGAGTGTTTTCTTTTGTTATTAAATCTATTCCTGGTGTCCTCTTGTCTACTAATTTCCCTCATACTATGCCTTTGTCCTAAAAATAATTCAATGTCGTTTGACAAGGAAAAACGTAAGGAAGTGATGGAATACAAGAAATTAATGTCTTATACCTGGTGTTAAATCAGGCAGAGAATGCTCAATGAATCGGGTTGCTGCCTGCCGATTTATAGTAGTTGAGGGCCTCAATGGTGCTATAGGAGACATCAGGATATGAAAGAAATATGAGCAGCGTCTCAAATAAATAATAATGTAATTCAACTGCTAGGAAAAGTTGAGATCAAACTTAAAAAGAAAACCAGTCATGAAACTCTTCAAAGGAACTGAAGAAAATTATTTTCCTATTGAAGGAAAGCCTGCATCGCAATGCATTGATATCAAAAGATACAATCATGTCTTGCACAACAGCACGTACATATGAAAAATTCAGAAGTATGTATGAAGCGGAAGACAACAAAGTTGGTCAAAACATTAATTTTTAAGTAATTTATTGATTAGAAAGCAAATGTCCGTATTTTTAAAATATAACCAAAATTTATCAGCCGACAGGCTCTATTTAAACAAGGTTACGAAGAGAAAATACTCGTATTATGCAAATACGGTATCTCGGCCAGCTTTGTATAGAGCATCATAACCTGATGGACTTCATTTCTGCAGAAGTGACAGTAGATTTATCAAAATGATGCAGAAGGCAAAATCCTTGTTTGCTAAGTAGCTTCAGATAAACTTAAGTTGTTGAAACTAAGTAGATTAGTCTATAATTGCTCAAAATCTCCTATGCCTTCCGACTTGCAAATATCATAGAGAACATGGAAAATAGAATATAACAAGGTCAAGGTCAAGTTGGTGTAGTGTACCTGAATTACAAATAAAAGTAGCCAAATGGTCAAGTACCAAAATTAAAAAACCGAAAACCCAATGGAACAAGCATGGATCTACCAAACTTTGTTCCAAGTAAACTGAAGCCAACTGAAATCGGTAATACAAATAACAATTGGTTCAAAAAAGTGGTCCACGGCATAAAAATACAACTCTTATAAATTTGTTACAACCCAACTTCAAGAAGACACAACCACAACCTATCGGCTACGCCCAAATTTCCCATCAATGACAAAACCTGATCCAGATCTACTGTGTAATCAGTTTGAATGTAAATCTCCTTCTACTAAAAGAGTAGATATCCGAAGGTTATGAATTGAGAACATAAAAGGAGTCTGATAAAAAATGTTCATTGCAATTACGGGATTCCAAAAGAAGGATCTCCCCTTCTGCATATTTACAGTTTATCTCAAATATGGACCAACAGGCCATAGTAAATCATGCAAGATCAATTTTTATACCTGTTGTGGTCCAGATGTGGTTAGGATTGCAACACTTCCACTCAGAAAGAACAGCCTCGAAACACATAAACTGTTCCCCTGAGTAATCAAATAATAAAATAAACTATAACTGACATCTGGATACAGGTTTAACTAGTGAAAGGTATGATTGCTAACCTTTTTAAGGGGATATCCAGATCAGCAATATATATAGTGAAGTGTGAAATTAATAAACTCCTGCATCAAATTTATATTATTTAGAAAAAAATAACTTATACCAAATAATTCAAGAAGAAATTGATAAGAAATCATCAGACCTTAAGCTTTTCATCTCCAAGTAATGATTTCAAGCTTTGCAAAATGGAGGAAACAAAATCTATTTCCATCACGAAATACAAAATGGCATAAAAGCATAAGCGCGTTCATCAAAGAAAATGAGGGAGTAGTTTTAAAATCTTTACAGACAAACTTCTGATTAGAGTAAATACACAAAAAATTAAAAAGAGAATATCTGCATATACATTCCTATATGCATCAAGTTTCATACAACAAACTCACTATTTCTATGAACTGTAAAGACACTCGTTCCTTGGTACGAGAGTATGGTTTCTAAAGTCATAATTTAACTGATAAGAGGATATCAAAATGATATAGTAACATCTAGCATCAGCGGCTTCCATTGTTATCTCTAGTGTTTCTGCACATGAAATAAGATTAAAGGCACAAAAAAGAGCATGTAAGTTCTCGCCATCTAGCTAAGCTCTAACTGCAATTCAGTATCAAAACTCAACCTCCACCAAGTTCTTGCAACCATTGCCAAACATGTTATTTGCACACACACAAAAAAGGCTGCATTTAAAAATTATAGGCTAGAATAAGTTTTTATCCCATGATGTCCAAGCTTGCTGGTCAACCTGGTCTATTAAGAAGAAACTGATAGCTCTTTATTGATTATGAGTTTGATGGAAGATACTGAACTCTTGGTTCACTGATACTAGAAGGAGCTTTTAGTTTGTCTTAGTTGGATAATGTATGATTTAAAACTTATAAGCTATCTCAACTTTTCCCCTCGGTTTCATGGAATTTGACGGAATTAACATACAAGACAACTTGAACTAACATCCTAATAAGCAACCAAATGCTTTTTATTAAGTTAATTAAAAAATATGATTCCAAACCAAAGCAGGATACCTGTTTGCCAATGAGTTCGCCATTCTTGTAAGCAACAAGACCATTTTCGGCAAATACATAATCGTAGTCTGTGATCACTGCAAAAAAATCATTTTTATCATGTTCTAACCTGAATAACGAAAGGAAAAAAACAGCATATTATTAAACAAAAACATGCACATCACATTAGGTCCCTCCACCCAATCAGAAAGACTACCAATTATATAACCCCATGACTTGCTAAATAAACTTATTATTGAAACTTTTCGTAAATTTCTCGGAACAGTGAGGGTCTCGCCGACATCGAACAAAGCAATCAGCCCTGGAGTTCTCCCAACCATTTCCCTCACTGATCTCTGCTGTCAATTGCAGAAAAAAGGTCATCAATTCATTGATAATCGACCAAAAAGGTTGAATACATATGAGTCTAAAACCAATCAGCAGATGCGTCAATTCAAACATCTGGCAATCAATAGAAATTTGAAGGTAAGGGTTAGGAATTTTACCTTCTCCGGTGAGATTTTTTGAAGAGAGGGAGCAGATCTAAAGATGTTACCTTAAATAATACTAATTAGGGTTTAGGATTTTGTAAAGAGTAGATGATACTAATTTACAGAGGAGAAGGGGGCGACCTGAGGAGGAGGCGGTGGAGGAGGCGGAGGAGCGACAACCCCGACGAAGACCAGCAGGACGAGGAGGTACGTTGGCGAAGACCAGCAGGACGACGGCGCCGATGGAAATGATGGAGGCGGAGGACGAGGAGGCAAAGGAGCGCTGGCGAAGATGAGGGATGCGGACAAGCGCCGGCGAAGATGAGGGAGGCGGAGATAAGGGAGCCCCAGGCAAACGAAGATGAGGTGCATTTTCGGTGGTCGGGGTCGGACTTCGACGGGTCGGATGAGGGATTTTCGACGCGGTCGGACGAGGGGGTTAGGGATTTGAGAGTGGGGTGATGAAAATTTTAGGGATGAATTTTTGGCGCTAGGATGAATGTTTTGGGGGGGATGAAGAAAAAAGCTTTTATTTATTTATTTATTTATTTGTCAAAATTAATAAAACTCCCAAACGGTTTTATCTGTTTGGGCTAAGATATCTCAAACGGTTAAAACCGTTTGGTACACCCATTTGGGATTTTTTACAACCCAAACGGTTTTTTAACAGTTTGGGTTTATTTTTCCAAACGGTTAAACTCATTTGGGCTATTTTGACTTGTCCAAACAGTTGTAATAATCGTTTGGACAGAGCTGTTTTGTACTAGTGCATCCACTCGATATCCACCTCTAGAAATTGCCACTTGATTTCCGGCCAAAAACAAGATGTTTGGCAAGATACAGATTTGCCATGAAACCTAAAAGATTGATAAACAGGCAGAGAAGATAAAAAAGTGTTATAGTTCTGTTAGTATCAGAGTGCGTTAGGTGGAGTATTTGCTTTCATTTTTTGAAGGAGCTGCAGTGACTTGAAAGATCAAGAAATCTGCTTTGAAAAATTAGGTGGTTACCTTCAATTCTCTATTTCCCTTGGTTTTACCCTAATTTATTATAAGTACTAGTTTTCACGCTTACTTTTACAAAATCCCCTTAAACTTTTCATAGGTGAAAGCCTACCTTGATCACAAATCTCTTGCACATTCCTTAAACGACACCAAAATTACAGTCAATCAATTGCACAAACTTGCAAGAGCTGTTGTTATCATTGCAGTTCTTGTCATCACTCTGATACTAACAGACATTGCAACAACCGAAGTGCTTGTTTTTATCTTCTCTCAGCTATTGTTGGTGGCTTTTATGTTTGAAAACTCTTGCAAGATGGCATTCAAAGCTATCATATTTGTAATTGTAATGCACCCTTTTGATGTTGGTGATTGTTGTGTTGTTGATGGAGTACAGGTAATTCTCCTTTACTATCCTAATTTTCCATCATTCCTGACAACGTTAGGGGATTTTCTGTAATTTTCCCAAAAAGGGAACAAAATCGTGGAGTTTCTCTTATATATGCCATGATATTATTGACCCTAATCTCGCAGGTGATAGTAGAAGAGATGAATATGTTGACTACTGTTTTCCTGAAATTTGATAATGAGAAGATCTACTATCCAAACTCTGTCTTGGCAACAAAACCAATCAATAATTTCTATAGAAGTCCAGACATGAGTGATGCTGTGGAGTTCTCTGTTGATATTTCGATTTCGATGGAGAGCATGAGAGCTCTGAAGTCTATGATCAAGATGTAAGTCAATTGACATTGCATAAGCCTTTATGATGGCAGCAACCAATTATATTGATTGAACCCTTATTTATCTATATGCCTCAAAACGGATGAGTTACTCGTGCTTGTCATCTTTTCTACTTCGTAATCCATCCGCACAAGTAACTCATCCATTTTGAGGCATACAGATAAATAAGGGTTCAATCAATATAATTGGTTGTTGTCATCATAAAGGCTTATGCAATGTCAGTTGACTTACATCTTGATCATAGACTTCAGAGCTCTCATGCTCTCGACTGAAATCGAAATATCAAC